GTCTTTTCAGAGAGACAGAAGGGACAGGACTTGAAAGAAACCAACACATCTGCATATCTAAGGAGAATGATAACAACATCAGATGAAACAAGTGAATATCAGCATTGAAAAGGCTGCAGGAGTTTGCAAGCAGATGTCAAAAAGCATACAAGAAAATGTCAGGAAAAGTATAACAAGCAGCTAAAACTGGGTGCAGAGATTGGGGTGCTAAATTTATGCATGATGAATGCACCACTCCGGCTTACAGACCCGAGAGCTGCCTCCCAAGCAAGAAAGGGAAAAAAGAGCTTCATAAATGATTTCTGCAGATAAAACTGGGGTCAAATGCAAACAGAGGTAAAAAGCAAATAAAGCTCTTCCTGGAAGGTTTTTGCAGAATGCCTACATTATCAGATGATAAGAATGAATGCGTTTCTGTTAAACAGAAATCATCAAAGATGCTTAGCCCCAGAAAGGAAATATAGACAAATACCCAGAGGAAAGTGTTATAGAATTTAATTCTCAGAAACTTATTCTAGTAAATTTTACAAGTAAGAGTCATAATTTCAGATTGCAGAATGAGAGATATTTGCCTCACACACACACACATACACACTCCTATAGAAGAAATAAATTTCCTGAATTCCAACCCAAGGAATTGTTGTTGAAGGTAATTTTAACGTATCTCAATTCAAATTTCAAAAAATTTCTCAAGTTTCTTCCATCCACCACTTTCCCTCTGAATTGGTCTTAAATACAAAATTTGTATTTTCCTCCCACAAACCAGACCTACAAGAATTCACTTTAGGTAAGGTTAGAAACAGATTTTTTGTTTCATGACTTGTTACTTAAAGGATTGTTATGAATTAAAAACTGATAAAGTTTTATCAATGAAAATAGGATAGGGTGGTTAATACATGTGATACCTTGGTTCATGAACGTTTCTGTTCCTGAGCAATTCAGTTCTCAAAACGAAGCCTTTTGTAAAATTTTGCTTCTGTTCACAAACTGTGCATCGGATGAGCAACAAGGCCTTGCCCATCTTCTCCCCATGAACACGAACACAGATATCTTCCCCGGAATGATGGAACCAGTAAAGCTCATGAAAAAAGGTAGCACTGTGTACATATTCTCTGAGACCCTGTCTGGTCCCTTTTTTATGAAATTGGCTCCCTGGAATAGCATTTTCCTTGTATCATTCCTCTAAAAATTTTCCAGTCTCCAGTTGTGTTTGGAATACAGTCCAAATTGTTCTGTCTGTTCAAATAATGTCTCTGAACATGTTCCCTAATCCATCCACAGTATCAATTCTGAAGCATCATTTATGTAGCCAGCTAGTGTCTGTACTAAATGCTGAAGAAATAAAATGATTAGGATAGAGCCTTAATTCTCAAAGAGATTAAATAAACAACACAAACTTACTACTTTTGAGATGAATTTTACTTGTGATATTTCCTGCTTTTAAATGCTGTTTTCCACATAAGTAAACTGAATTCACCCTTTAAAGTGCTTTTATCGCTACACCCATCCGAAATGACACTTAGACTTCTGAGTTATTTCTCAGAATTCCTATGGAATCAGGCGTCAGTACAATTATTTTGGCACTCCTGGTAATTTTAAAATTCATCTAGTAGAATCTACATGTTCTTCCTTCTATATAAACAGATGTTAATTTTAAGTGGAGAGAAAATATGCCCAATTAAAGTATTGTATTTCCCAACATGCCCTGCAGAGGATCGCAACCAATGAGAAGTAAGCCTGATACTAAGATGGGTTCAGGAGATTCCCTGAGGGAACTCAGACGGATATTGCTCTCTCTCTCTGCCCTCCTCTCACTTCCTCTTTGTTTCCTGGAACACAGAGATGAAAGCTGGAAAGCCAGTAGCCATCTTGAACCTCAGTAACCCTGAGTGTGAAAACTACGTAATAATTACAGAGGGGGAAAATAAGACTTGCCACACCAGTGCTTGATGAATGCCTATGACTTCATTTACACGGAAGAGAAATAAAACACTCGTTAGTTTAATCCACCAGGACTTCATTGGGGTACAAAGGCAAGTTTCATTTCCCTTCACATAACGCAATTCCTAACAGACTTATCACTATTTAGCCTTGAATTCAGTCGTTACAAAAGCATTTGCTGTTCACCAGACATTTGTTATACAGCAGATATTTTGTTCCGTATCGAAAACACACAAACAAATGAGAAATTGTCCCTGCCTTCCAGGGATTCCCAAACGCAGTGGGAAAAATAAATAAGAAAAAGCAATTAGTAGAATGCAACCATGGAAGGAGGTACTCTCGGGTGGTGCATATTGGAAGAGCATCCGCGGAAACTCTGCAGAGGAAATGACGCTTGCAGCAAGTCCTGAAGGCATCCAGAGTTATCTTATAAAAAGAGGGAAGGGGAACATAGAGATACGGAGCCGAATAGGTGGGCAGAGCAGAGAATATGAAATGCTTTTTGATGCTGTGTCTAGGAAATTGGGGCTCTATCTCAGAGTGCATAGAAGAAATTGAAACATTTTCAAGAGAAGGGTCAAAATAAGAGTCATGTTTAGGAAACACCTATACAGAAATTACTTGTAGAAAATTTTGAATATAAAACTACTTAGAAGGCTATTGAGCAAACCAACCTACAAATGAAGAGCTCCAGGGACTGAGGGTATAGCTCGGGGCTACAGCATTTGCCTAGGGTGTGCGGGCTCTGGGTATGACCCCCTGGCACCATCAAAAAGGACAAAAAAGTTCAGGTCAAGGAAAAATATTAGAAGGGTTTTTTTGTTCTGGGTTTTGGTTGTCTTTTTTTTTTTATTTAAAGCAATGTAATTGACAGTATTTCATGAGAATTCAATGCAAGGGATATTGGATTTAGAAGAAGTAGGTAGAGTCAGGTATGATTCAGCCCTCTGGTTTTCAAAGGAAAGGAAATGTCATTAAATAAGATGAGAAGACAGGTTATGAGAAAATGAAAATTTTCGATTCAAACAGGGTGCTCCTGTAGCGGAGTAAGAGAGCCAAGGGGATATCTTCTGTAGGAGGTTATATACAGCCACAGGGTTGAGGAGAGAGGTCTGGGCTGAATATTTCAGAGTCATCGGCATTTATATGATGGTGCAGCCATGCTTACAGGAAGCCACGCAGAGGATGAAGAGCTACAAGAATAGACTTCTGTTAGAAGCACCACCTTTTAACAGACCAGTGAGGGACAAAAACATCACGAGGGAGACAGACTGTCCAGAGATAAAGGAAATCAAGAAAGAAAGGTGAATTGAATGCTAAGAAAGGAAAAGTTTCAAAACGTGGAGAGAGGTCAGTGTTAAGTATTGCAGATCAGTTAAGTGTTGCACTGCTTAAAGTTTTTGAGAGAACTTTAAAAGAGTATATTATTTTTGGCTAGAAATTCAGGTAGAGCCATTTCAGAGACTTGTAGAGCAGATTCCAAATTGGAGCAGACAGAATAATAAATGTGACATAAACGTATTATACTTAAATCATTCTCCTTTATACCACATCTTGTATGCTCAAATAAGCTTTTAAGTTTCCAGAGGGTAGTTTTTCATGCGTTTTCTATCCTATTTATGTCTCATTTAATATAATACATATATGTAGTTGTGTATATAGAGTATAACAGACAAGTATAAATTATACGCATATCTTTATGAATATGGATAGTAACAAATATGTATATTAATACTTAATGTACATACATAAAAGTGCCTGCGAAAATACCAATGATCAAGATTGATATGATGAATATACAAATGCAGATCACCGAATCTCCAGTTTTACTTTAACAGCAGGCAGCATAGACACTTGATCTTTTTTTTCCTTTCCCTGATATCTTCCAAGCTCTACCCTACCCATTTTTCCCATAGTCCTTTGTGTAAACCAAGTGTGCAGCTGATGTTTCCCTTTGCTTCCAAACATTTATTTTCCACCTTTGTATCTGCATTTTCCTTCCTCCTCAGCTCAGATCATGAGCATCCTGCCTCCAACAGCTGGCATTTATAGAGCTATAAGTTTCCATAACTTCTGCAGGAGCTCTGCATGCATGAGCATGCCAAATCAAGCCCTCCAGCTATTCTGCAAATAATTTCTATAGTAAATTTCATTCGTAATGACCTGAAGTGGAGTTTGCATCCTTGAGGAAAAACTATATCTTCTCACAGAGCTCTCTCCTTGCCATGTTAAATGCAAATTTTCTCATGTAATTAGTATACATATGGAATTTATGGCACAAAAAGTGTAACTGATTAAAACAAACTGAATCACTTTAAGCAGCACTAAAGCACAAGCATACTTTTGTTTAGAAAACCTCTTATTTTTCTTACCATGACTTGGGGTTTAGGGTTCTTTCTAACCACAATATGGTGTGTTTGGGGCTTTGATTGTCTTTTTTGGCATTTCTCACTCAGAACACCTGTGTAAGATGGGTTCCTTGACTCCATAAACAGCTTGCAGGGTAAGAATTTATTATTGAGTGAATCTTATTCACACCGTTTCAGTGAAAGGAGGAGTATTGCTAATGGTTTTTTCAGTTTAGTGACTAGAACATTATAGTTTCATCTAATTTTTATTTTTCTCCATCTGCTTAAGTGGCTATATTCCTCTCAGGTTGAAATTTTCAAGGCGATTCGCTAATGCTATGTTCAAAGGTTTTCCTACACTGCTTATTCTGCCCCCTTCCCCATATTCTCCCGTGTAAAGTGGTTTCAAAAACCAACTAAAGTCATGAAAGAGGAAGCAGTGTTGGAAGAATGAAAATGGAGAGTGCAGATGCAATTATTTTGCAAGGAAATTCAATCTAACGCAGCTCAGTCACTGTGGTTTTACACATTCTTGAATCAATAATAGGCCACAGATCTGAAACTTCTGGATCCCTCCTCACTGGTGTCCCATAGCACTGCCAACTACTCTTGCTACTTCCGCTATTTGACGTATTATTTACTCTGTGAATCACGGGCTTCGTGGTCTATAATACTCACAGCAAACCAGGAAACTAAAAGTATTAAACCAGCTGCTGTGCCTTCTTATGAGTCTAAGGAGTGATGAGGTAGGAGGATGTACTACCTTCACCTCCATACAGGGCCTCTAATTCCTCTTTACAGCCCGAAGGAACTGTCACGCAAAGCCCGTGCTGTGCTGGTGGAATTTCCTGGCTTGCAACATTCATTCCTAGACTCGAATCCTCCAAGAAAGATGGAGGTGAGGGCGGGGTGAGGTAAGAAACTTGTTTTTTAACTTTTGCCAGTATTCATGGTATAAATACTTCCAACCACATAAACTTCAGTTGAACAAGAGTTTATGAAGTGGGTCTCTCATTTTCTGAAACTGCATCCATTGACATCCAATAACCATTCGTTAGCTATTTCTTTCATATCACTGCCAAAGGACCTTATGTGAAATCTATCCGTTCTTTTTGCTTTCTGACCTACTCATTACTTATTGCTACTACTGAGCTGTAGGCTCTTACAGCTTTTGACTGACTAAGCAAAGTTGCAGGGTGAGTGGACTCAGCCTCTGGGCTGCTTACTCCGCCTTTGGTTTACTCTCCTCATCTCTTTGCTGTTCCTCCTAGCCCTACCAAGGCTAGGACTGCCAGTGATTTAACAATACTGCAAAAGTACCCTCACCTCTGTTCAAACTGCCAGCACTACTGCGCATTCACAAATGTGTCTGCCGAGTCAAGTTGCACAGCAGTTACTGAGGGCTCCGTGGGCGTCCTTCCTGGGTTTTCTGCAGTGGTGAGAGGGGTGGTCTGGAAAGAATGACTAACTGAATAGTGACTCCACGGTACTGCCAGACAAGGACAAACAGAGAGCTTATCTATCTCCCCTGTCACTGCTCAAATGTGTGAACTTTTAGTCTAAATCTCTCCAAAATGGCCTGGGAAAACTGGAGAGGGTAGAGAAGATTATCTTGCTCGGTTTATCTTACTCATCATTTCTGTGTTTTCTAAAACGGTTCATTCAGGAGGCCTCTAAATTAGTCTTGGCCAGAACCAAGTCTTGTCTCCCTGACTGTTCAGACTTTCCACTTCTCTTGGCTTCCTCGCTTTATTTCGACTCTGGGCCATCCTCTCATCTGGATGTCCTTTCTTTACTCTTTCATATTGTCTTCAAAAATTAGCCTTTTCAAACAGACTGCTTTAATTTTTATCCCACTATATCTCATCTTCCTTCCAATTTCATTAATTCTCTATCTAATCCATGCCTTAGCACCTAGATGATCTGGAGCTAGTATCTGAACACTGTGCTTTAGTTCTATCACCTGCAAAATGAAGACAACAGTCATATGCATACCATAGAGCTACTGTGGAAATTACATATGTTAATAGGGGGAATTCATGGACAATAGCAACTGACTTTACAGTGTCTTTGCAAGAAACATCAACTGTTATTACTAGTAGTGGTATCTAGTATTTTATCTCTACTCCAACTCTTAGCTCTTTAGAAGGAAAGAGACCATGTCTGTTTGTCTCTTGAGCCTCTTTTTTTCTTACCTGGCACGTAGCAAAGTCTTACTACATATTTACTGACTAATGTATGATACATGACAAATTTTGCCTAGTTATTGTGTATGCACAATGTGTGTGTATAAGTGTGTGTATATATATATATATATATATATATATATATATATATATATATATATAGTACAAGAGAGATACTCCAAAATAACCCTAATGAACAAGTGGAGTGTTTAATGGTTTTAATGCTAGATGAACTACATTCATTGTGTTCTCATAATATTTTCCTTTTCTACCCTGCAGTATCAGTGGTAGCATCCAGAATAATATCTGTCAGGGCAAGAACTACAATAGATTCATGAATGAAAATGTCAAATAGCTTTTCAGTGCAGTGAACAATAATGGCAACAAAAACTAATAATGGTAGTAAACTGCTGAAACAAGAATTATGTGCAGAGGCTGGCCTGCCTGTTGCAGCTGGGGAAATGAAGCATGACTGCTTTTTGGAGACGGAGTCACTCTCCTATTAAGCCAAGGATGTTCTGAAGTCACTACAAACAAGTGAAAATGAGTCAGAGAGATAAAATGGAAAGTCTGAAACTCAAAGTCCTCCATATGGAGCTAATGTTTAAATAAGCATTATGTGATATCTAGCCCACCTTGATGGCTATAATTAAGGCAATCACAATCATCAGTAGCATTACAGCTGAATTACAGACTTAATCCTAGCTGAGATAACAATCTTTATCTAGGCTTTCAAAGGGCTCCAGATTCCTGCTCATCCATGCTATATTCCTATTGATAAGTGGTACCGTTTAAATAGAAAAGAAAAAATTACAGAGGGCAAACAAAAGACAAATGAATCAAGACCTTCAAAAAAGAAAGCTTGAATAATTGGAGCTCAATATCTTTTCTAAAGGGAGAAATAAAGACAGAAGCTTTGGCATCAGTATCAATTGTGTATTATGTACTATATTCCTTCTAGGAAAATATTTTTTATATTAGAAATATATGCTAAGCTATTGCTGTGCTGAGTGGGAGGCTAAAAGCTTGCAAGTCATAAATGGGTTGAGCCACATGTGTGTAGGTATTATTTAAGGTTCATGAATCTATCAAGATTAGAGTATACTTTCATTTTTTGATTCAGTGTTAAATTAAGCTTTCCTTTGTGTCAAAGTGCTGTGATTACCAATACATTGAACCCCTACTATAGGCTAAATATTGCCTCTAGTCTTCCCCAAAACTCTATAAAGTAGGTATCAATGTTCTTTTTTTTTGCAGTTGAAGACTGAGGCTCAGAGAGCTCAAAAAATTTGCAGAGGGTCGGGTTTTGAATGTCCATGAATTCTACCTTCAAAACAAGCAGGCTTTACCATTGCAATTCACTGTCTCTCAGTAATACTGCTAAATCAGACTGAGTGTTTATTATATGCTGTATGATCTAAACACATTACATTATTGATATTCACAAGACATCTGTGACATAGATACAGATGAGAAATTCAGAGAGAAAAAGCCACTTCTTTAGGAGCATAAACTAGTAAGTGGAGATTTAACCCAGGAGAGTTCGTGGTTCCAAAACTTGTAACCACCACACCATGCTCCCGCCAACTGAGATCACGTCTTCTTTTGTAGGAAGGCAGGTTACTACATAAACAGTGACTCTTTCATCACTAGGGGCCATGCACACATTTTATTCATCATGAAGCAGAAAAAAGCTGGATCTTTCTGTAAGGTTATTTAAATAAAACAGAGGTCCCAACAGAACTTACACGAAAATATTCAAATTGAAGTACTGAGTATTTTCTCTGTCCACTAAGTCTCCTTCTCCTTTATACATAATTCATGACACAAAACTTGAACCATTCAACCCCCCCAAAAAAACCCAGAACCAGCATGGGTGCAACCTCAGTAAGCAGCTCATGGCTGAGAGGCTTACACAAAATCTCTCCGTCATACCTCGAAGAAAACATTTTCAGATGGTCTTAAAAGTTTAAGATTATGCAATACAAACATGTACTAATGAAAAAATAAAAACTTAAAGAAATAAATTTTAAAAAGATAAAAGTTCAAGGAAGATACATCCAGGATTGAAGTAGAAAATAAATATCACACAAAAAATTAAAAGCCACTCGATGTTAAAAATAGAAATGGAAGATGGAGATGAATTAGTTTTTAGTAGAAAAAGTGAAAAGAAATAGAACAGAGGAGAGACAATAAGAAAAACACATCTAAATCTATAGAAGACTAGAATAAATAAATGAATAAATGTTTAGAAAAGATAAATATTAAATTCTATTTATTTGATTACTTATATATCTATATCCATGTCTACTTTGTTTTTCTGAAGAAGAAAAGAATAAATGTTTGTGAATTAGGTGTTCAAAATACTGAAACAAGAAATGATTGAATTTTTATATTAGATGTGTTTTTTGTTTTGGTTTGGTTTGTTTTGTTTTTGTTTTTTTTCCAGTACCAGGAGTCAAACTCACGACCTTTCACTTGCCAGGCAGGCTCTGTGCCGCTGAGCTAAATCCCCAGCCCCTATATTAGATGTTAAATTCTGTCTTAAGAAAAAAAATATGGTCAACCAATGCCATGGCATATCCTGGAGCAGTTACCAGACTTGAAGAATAGAAGATGAATTCTATTGCTGGCTTTTAGATCTCTTCTTCATGCACCATCCCACCCTAGCCCTGTAGGCCCTGGCCTTGGGGGAGAGTTACAGGAGCCTACAATAAGAATCTGAGTCCCCTCCTGGAAAGTGGATGTGGAGGAAATGTGTCCAGTGTGCTAGTTGACTTTTCATAATATGAAACTTATAAATATCTCTTCTTTTTCTGAAAAAATTTCAACTTCATAAAAAAAAACTATTTCTAGACAAAGAACACAAATAACATAAATACCCTATTTGAGCAAAAAAATAACGGATTATTAAGAGTAAAAGGATGTGGTCAGGGCTGGGGATTTAGCTCAGCGGCAAAAGCGCCTGCCTGGCAAGTGCAAGGTAGTGAGTTCGGTTCCCGGTACCAGAGAAAAACCAAAAAAAAAAAAAAAAAAAAGGATGTGGTCATTTTTTTATTCTCTAACATAGTGTCTTTTAATATTTAAGGCAGCAAATATTACACAGAGGCAAAGCTATATAATTCCCACATACAAGCACTTTGAAGAACTATGTCATAAAATTCAAGCTGACAGATATGAATCAAAATAAAGATGAGGATTGGAAAATAGGAGATAAAATATAAAGATGGTAAGCAGTCATTCAATTTACATAAAAGAGTTAATATTAAAAAGTGGGCCTTATAATTGCTTTTCAATTATATCACTACATAACCAACAAAGTCAGTCGAAGTACTAAAAGAAAGAAAAATCTATTGAATTGGATTTAAAATCATATCCAAGTTAAGAGGTCAATAGTTATTAATTCTGTCAAATCAGTTCTAGAGATACAACTTGCACATAGCCAGAAAACTGAACAAAACAGTAAGTACATATTGAGAGTTATGACTAACAGAAGTGTCTGAGTTTACCTAGCAACTAATTGAGATAATGCTATATATTGTGATTTAATAAATTTTCAAAGTTACTAAATCACTACAAGAATTAAAACTTACAAGAAAAACTTAAAAGTCAATCATGCATTCCTAATCATCTCGAGAGACACACACACATGCAAAGAACAAAACACAAGAAAAGAGGAGAGTGGCTCTACAAAACAGATGAATATAGATAGTTTTCAGAAATACTAA